AATTATTCCTAAAATTTGCAAATAATATGTTAGTATATTCAATTCCATATCGGTTGCGTTCTTCGGCTGATAAACTCGGCATTTTTTATGTTTAGGCGCCCAGTACTACTAGTAATTGTTTATAAACAAACATTATCAACTAAATAAATTAATATTAAATATTGTAATAAATTGTATCAGTGAACTTGACAATTGAATAAAATGATAATGAAACTATTTTATGATACACAAAAACGCATTCACAAGGCACAAAGTACACGAATTGTATGTACAGCATGTGTTTCTATGAATGTCATCGATTGGGAAAGTGAACGTAAATCCAACTTTTTACTGCAAGTACCTAGCAAAAAAAAAAAAGAAAAGTGTGATAAAACAAAAAAATACATAAATAAATGAATGAATGAATGAATGGTATCGCTTTATATGACTCTTTACAATTTTTTATAATAATAATGACGAAAAATGATAATAATGATGATTATTATGGGTGTTCGCTTGTATATATGCATACACTTATGATGACAATGAACTAAAGACATACATTTACAAGCAAAAAAAAAAAAAAAGAAAAAAAAAAGCAACAAATATGGACCATTACAACATTATGCACAGATTTCATGATGACATGAATGACTATATATCTGAATGCCTTTGTGCATGCGGTGCATGTATTCAAAATGAAAGAATAACTTTGTGTCCACATTATGATCATATATTGAATTTCTGACAAATCAGTAGCAGTGCATTTTTATAACAGTGAACATCAACGAGTTTATCGAACACAAAAGAGAAGGAAACCAAAAAAACAATTTCATAAAACAGTTTTTCGATAACTCAACATCCTTTCTTCAAAATAATAACAAAAAAAAAAGATGTTAAAATTGTGCAGTTATCTTTTGTTCATTCTTTTTTTAAATAATTTAACGTATTCGGTACAAGCGATGGAAATGTGTGAGTGTATTGTATTGCGTTTATTATGTAACGTATATGAATTTTTATGGATTTTTTTTTATTTTTTATTTTTTCTCAACGTGCATGCAATTTCGTTTTTTTTTTTTCTTTTTTTTTCTTTTTAAACGCAACAAATGTAACGAAATATTAGCTAAATTTACACCAAGGATTGTTGTGGTTTATGATAATTTAACCTCAGGTGCGCAGTGAATGTATTTTTATTAATGGATTATTTTAGTAAAGTACATCCAGTTCGACTCGAATATTTCGATGTCCATCTCTCATATCATTAACATTTTTGTGCTAACCGTAAAGAAGGGTAATGTCGACATATCAACGATTATCTGTTTTTCCATAATTTGCCATTTCTCCTTCAACAATTATTTTCGCTTTAATACCATTCGTATTAGTAATATTCATAGAGAATATTCATCAACTGTTAAATAGCAAGATCAGTGCTTATGTCAACGTACGCCTGACCATACACAGGTATTTTTTGAATTTATAAAGGCGTCTGTGTTTTTTTTTTTTTTTTTTTGAAAGCTGAAGTTGTCACTATTGTAACTGCACGTGTCGTCATCCATGGTGTCTACGTACTAAATCCTGCCTCCCATGCATACATATTTTTTGGACAGACACTTGCATTCAATACACTTCTTTTGCTGAAATCTCAATGGATTGCCCAGCTCGTCTGCTCTATCTTTTCTCTTAACTATCACATTTACAATAGTTGTTGCTACAGGATTATCTACATCATAAAATGGTTAACAGGGCTACGAACTTCCGGACTGGTTATGCAGTCAATCCGGTGATCCACATCTTCTGCAATTCAATGCGAAATAATCCACGTCTTTCTCTCCGTCCGAACAATTAACGTGAACCGACAATCAATATGCTATAAATGTGCGCAGAAACAACCAATGGCCGTCAGAAATTACATGAGGTAATAATAAATTACCTCATGACGTCTCGCAGTACTTAACGAAAGACAGGCGATGGTCGAGAGACTATTGCAATATTGTGTGTCAAAGCGATGCGTTTCGTCATTTATCTATGTATCGAATCTATTCAACTATATTAGTAATATTCTTGAGCTGATCGCAAGAGACATGCGGTATTTCCATAGATATGAGATGTCTATTTTAAGAACTGCGGAAGTTACCATTACTATATCTACATTTTGTCGAGTACGTGCAAGATAAAATTAAGTAAATCAAAAATCCTCAAAGGAAGCTTTATTAAGCGTAAGGAAGCGTATGCTAAATAATAAATAAGAAGCGTACTATAACTCATGAATTCATGTTGGCTCATTGCTAGGCTACGTAGCTTTTGAATGACATAAATTCTCGAATTTAAAAGTCTTCTTATACCTATCACTAATCGGTTCATTTCTTTTAGCTTATGATGCTCTCCGTAATAAAATAATGGAATCTGAACGCTCTTCTGCACTTGGTGGTAACCTATGGTTGTCCTCCGCAGAAGAGAGAGCAAATAGTATACTTATGAATGCCAAGAGAGAGGAGGTGAATACCTAAGAATAAAGAGCTTTAACGAAATTTAATTAGTTATCTTCTTCTTCGGGCTTCACGCAGATCGCCGAAGGCTTAAAAAATCCGACAAAATATCCACCAGCAATGCATTTCTTTCAAGGTAAACAGTATTTACGGCAAAGTGAAGTATTTCGTATAATCCAGAAGATGCCAAAGGGAGCTTTTCTTCATGGTCACAATACCGGTATGGTTAGCTCGAAATGGGTTATCGGCAATTTAACGACGTTATATAATTTATATACATGTCGTGATGTAAATGGTTTACTAATATTTACCTACAATCAGAGTCGCTGCCACAGTGAAGTGCAAAACATCTGCTTGGAACGTGTTGAAGCTGACGATAAACGTTTGTATGACAGACAATTGGAAAAACATATTAATATGTATACAATGCATCCGGAATGTGGGTTTTCTTTTGTTTGTTTATATATGCTCAATACCTTCGTAATTACTTATGATCAATTTTCAGCTTTGATCACTGATACACGAAAAATTTGGAAACGTTTTGAGAATATCTTCGAGAGTGTTGATCAATTCTATAAATATATGCCGGCTTATTGCAACTATCACAAGCGTCTGCTAGAAGAATTATGTGAGGATAATATAATTTATGCCGAAATTAGAGCTTCACTCTCGCCGGTATTTTGCCACTTTTTTTTTATTTTTTTTAAATAAACTTTTTTAAATTGACTTTGGTTAATATCTGTTTTTGCGTTTCAGTGCTATGGTGATGATAATAAAACCTATAATTCGTTAGAAGTGGCCAATGAATTGGAGAAAATAGTGGAAAGTTTTAAAGTCAAGCATCCAGATTTTTTGGGCTTAAAAGTGATTTACGCTAAACGCAATAAGGCCAGCGTTGATGAAATGGCTCAACGTATCACAACATTCAAACAACTTCAGTAAGTGAAAAAGTTCCGAAACAAGAAATATTGCAGAATTTGATAGAATAGATAATATCCTCTGAATGACTGACATTAGATCGCAAGACATATAATAGTTAGATATGACCGCTAGGAGATTGCCATTAATAAATAATAATGAAGAAAAATATAATAAAATATTATTCAATATACTAAAGATTTTAATCGATGAAGAAAAAAATTGAAGAGAAGTAAAAATTAAAATTTACAATTTATTGAATTAAAAAATTACTTATAAATAACTTTTGAGCAGTAAAGTTAATTAAATTAAAATTAATCTTTTTTAATTTGATTTATTTAATATATTTAAATAAAATAATTTTAAAGGCCCTTTAATAGACATCTGTGCCAAATTTCATATAGTCAAAGATCATTAGTGTTCAGCTGCACTTGGTTTTGTACGAAACAAAAAGTATGTTTTCCCATTCAATCGGTCATTATTACGGGAGATGAGACTTAGATCTAGGGATAGTATCTAGAAACAACCGATCAATCGAGAGAATATCGTGCAAAAAGTGCAACCACAAGGGCGCCTCAAAGTCGCTCAAAACTCATTGTGATGTTAACAGCCTTCTTCAATCATCGCGGTATTATGCGCTACAAATTTCTTCTACCGGGCCCAACTGTTAATAGGAATACTATTTGAGCTTGAGAATTACTTAAAAATTGACCTAACTTTTTGGATACCGATTATCGCCGTCCAAAACCTAAGCATATACCGTCACACGTTTTGATAAAAGAAGAATTCAAATTGTTAAGTCCTCGAAAACCTTTGTCGCTAACAGCTATGCGTACATTTTTATCGCAAAACCATAACTTCGTCGACAAAGCTCTTATATTATGCATGAGTTATAAGAAGCATAGCTCTGGTCTGCTATTGAGCTTTGATTGACTTGTTCTTTCATCCGCTATGGAAATTTTGTCCATTAAGGAATTTCCATTCTCTCTTCTTCCAGTTCTATCCAACTCATTCATCTTAGATGGCATTCTTCACTTTCCGATAACGTATTTTAGGTCTGCTTTGACTTATCCAGCGCAATACGCAAAGCCTATTTTTCAAATTTCTTAGAAATTTTATTATAAATAAGTAACAATATTACAGTGGGGCCAAGCCCATTTGATTTTGTGGTGAGTCCTAGACAAAGCGGTTCAATTCAATCCATTTTCAATAGGCTTCATCACTAGGCCATAACACGTCAGTATAGCAAATTTCATCAAAATATCTCGCAAGTTGTGACATTTTGTGTTTATCTAGAATAAGGATACATGAACAGACGGGTAGATGGACAAAAACGCTTAGATCGATTCAGAAAATATTTTCGAAATCAATTCAGTTAAAGTTCGCTTAGATAATATTTTTTGTTACAATTTGCAGTCATGCTAAGCCGAATTTCATAATCGGTTTCGATCTGATTGGCCAAGAAGATATGGGTGATCCCTTACATAAGTTTGCCAACGAACTTACCGATCTACCATCGACAGCTAATTTTTTCTTTCATGCTGGAGAAACTAGTAAGTTAAAAAATAAATATCAGTAATCTTTTGTATGCAATAAAAGATAAAATATATCAGATTGGTATGGGAAAACGGATTGGAATATTATGGATGCTCTGCTGTTGAATACAAAACGTATTGGTCACGGTTTTGCTTTACCTAAGCATCCGCAGCTATGGTCAACAATTCGAAAGCGAAATATTGCCATTGAAGTGAATCCAATATCGAATCAAGTTTTAGGTTTCATATGGGATTTACGTAATCATCCTGCCTCATTTTTAATAGCCGAAAACTTTCCAATTATCATATCGGCCGATGATCCGGGAGCCTGGAATGCCAAAGGCCTAAGTTACGATTTCTATTACGCATTTATGGCTTTTGCACCGGCCGAAGCTGATTTAAGATTTTTAAAACAATTAGCTTTAAATTCATTAAAGTAATTTAAGTATTTTAATTTTTATACAAAATTTTTAACATAAATCTTTACAGGTACTCGATACTCACGTCCGAGGAAAGACGTAAAAGCAATCGCACATTCCAAAAGAAATGGGAAGAATTTATTTATAATATTATTAATATGAAATTTTAAATTACAGAATTTAAATTACAATTAATTTTGACGATAATTTTAAAATAAAAATATATACAATGAAATAAGCGAAAGTAAGGCAATTTTTTTTACACTATATCGCGGGCAAACCAACCATGCAAACATTTCGGTACCGGACCAGAAGTATGAAAAACGCAACGCCCTATTTCAGTCCAAGTTCGGGCACACAATACTAACAAACCAACTTTGTTCTCGTTGAACCCTCCCCAGACCATCGAAGCTAACACCACACCGTCATCTTCTTTCCGAATTTCGCCGGACTTATTAGGCGCAGGTACAAATATCGGCTCACTAGGATAACAATCCGATTCACACCACTGCTTGCAGGTTTTATTAAGCACATCAACCTTTATAAGCTATGGAAATTTATTTTATAAACGAATCTATTCAGTTTTACAAGATTTTATAATATACTTACTGTTCCCGGATTTTCAGCATCCACATCGGACGATATGGCGTAAAAATAACGATAGGGCTTGCCTAATATAAAATATTTCAAAACCAAATCTTTTTTTTTGCCTCACTATATTATCTTTTTTTTATTAGGAAACTTACCAAGATAATTTTCGTAATGTATACGAGGAGTTTCACAACCCATCTCACATAATAATTCGGGTTTAACAAAAACTCGTCCGTCACTTAATTGAAAAGCTTGCGCTCGACTTTTTTTCAAACCCACCATATTCACGGGAGAGTCTACTTTATAGTCGTTTGGTTCTTCCGCCTCGTCACTGTTTGTTAGGGAATAATTCAATTTATTACTCGTAGTCAAGAATGTTATGTCCGCGTACTGAGACTCGGACTGCTTTATTCTTGGCTGTTGCAGTCGATTTGTAATATTCATTAAAGTTATTGATCTTATTAATCTTTGGCGATTGCTTGATTTTTGCTTACTACTACGCGATGCTAGGCTTACGCTTTTGATTACAGGCAAAACAAATCGGAGAGGTCTACTTCGAAATAAGGCGGCATAATTTGGATTCGATTGCATATTCGTCATTGATTCCAAGTACATGCAATTTATCATTTCTGGATCCTTATAACAACAAATATCGATAACAATATGATCATCTTGCTCGTATTGGTTAATGATGTGTAAATAGAAAAATGTCTCGGAATGAAACGTATATCTTAGTTGGCCGGTATTGCGATCTATTACGTGAAATAAAACCGGTTTATTATCGAACCATTTTAAACAGGCCGATAAATTGTGATTACAAAAATGCGCCTTAAGATATTCCATTACAGATATTGTTAAAGGCTGCTCAACAATAATGAAATAGTTTTCAGTTATACCAAAAGTATGCATATAAGAAGGATTTAATTTCCAGCGGCAAGGTATGCTAGCTACTACACGAGCTTCTTCAAACATACTATCACCACGAGGGAAGCAAATAACATTATAAACCGGCCCAGATTTCGTTGAAGCCATGCCCAAATTATAAACCGTTCCATTGGGCATGACATGGGGATGCGAAGTGTGATTAACAACCCCGGCATAATCGCTTATACATACACGATCCTCAGTCGCCAAAGTTCGCGGATTGATTCTACATAAATATCAAAGAATTCGAATTAGCTGCATGCTTTAAACTCTTTAATTTCATTTCCACTCTTTTAGTGTACCTATGTATAAAGGGAGCTTCCGTGAATGTATAAAATTCATCGCCAAAGGGATATATAGAGATCATCGTGTTATCCGAACCGTTATCAGCTCGAAATATTGCTCCGACTCTAAAATTTTAAAATTTTTAATAAAACATTTAAACTCTTATAGGTATTAACATTTTGCTTATACTTCTCGAATATAGAATGACAGGGATCTGGCACTGAGGATGTACCGAATTCTGTTACCACAATACGCTGAGCAGCTAAATTCTTTTTTAACGTATTTGTTTGTACAAAACGATTTTGATAAGTAACATGACCATTTTTAATAGCAAAACGATGGATTAAAGCCGAACAGTCAAATAAATGTTGAAAACTCATATCGCCGACTTTCCAATTACCGGGACCGTTCCGCAACAAACTGCCCTTTATCCAGTCGGGTATTTTTCCTATAACATGACCCTCAATCGGTTCAATAATCTCCTCTCGGCAAGAACGAAGCCAAACGGTCGAATCACAGTTAGGATAACAACGACCGTTCCCATCAATTCGAGCCGACTCAGGATCATGGTCCTTAGCATTATATTTTACCTAGAAACAAATAGCAAAAATAAACCAATTTAAGTAATTCGGTGCAGATGATCAAACCCTTTTCTGTGCATTTAATTTTAATCTTAAAGAAATCCATGTATAAAATTTTTTCGATCTCAACAATATTATCACGATTCCAAATATTAAAAGAAATCCGGAAAAATCCATAATACGTTTATGTGTTTATAAACGACAACTTGAAGATAAAACGAAAAAACAATAACCTCATCATAAATCAAATACTAATAACATTAGTATGACAATTGAGCATTGGCTGTAGCTATAACCGTAGCTGTATGTATGCAGGGTAGTCTACCCGCATACATATGTAAGGGTTTTCTTTCGCCTTGAAATATTTCAAGAGCTTAAAACGAATTCAATACGCATTTAAGTGAAATCTGAAAACGTATTATCTGTAAGCTTACGGTTTATATATATACGCATAAACATAAGAAAAAGAACGTGCGGATTAACCAGAACGTAATGAAATGCAAAAGCAATATATACAGATTTCCGATAGTAATATCAAACAGTTTGCAATGCTTTAGAATTGCGAATTGACAAAAAATTGCAAAATTTTCTTTAAATCTTCCGGTTAATAAACCTATATATACAGAACTAGCCATAATCTGTTAGTTCTTTGCACTAGTACAGGGTCTCTCAGTCAGATTATAAATGAAAGCCATTTCCAAGGTACCAACATTCAAAGCAAGGAGATTGTGAAATACATTGATTGGGCATCTGTTGATTGGCTGCCGCAAATGCATGGACAAAATTAGGAATTTTTCAAAAAAAAAAAAATTATTATAAGTGATGGGGTTCATTTTCTTCTCTTTCATATGTAAATAACCCAAAATATGTCGCATGCAAACCCAAGAGAGGGAAGTAGTCGCACACATGCTTCCGCCACAAAAAGGTCTTGTCGCCCTTGTGTAGCTTTCCGGCTTGCAGCGTAATCAATCAGGCCGCGTTTTCCCACATATCGTGCTGATGCGAATGTTACACTGGATGGAATACTTGGCCGAACGAAGCTGACCGTTTTTTTCTCCCTTTGTTTGCAATCGATCCTACGGATGTAGAACACATTTACTTTTACTACGTGTACGTTTTTGCCGGGCATAAAATTAGAGCCTCTATTTACAGCATAAACCCAGTGTATCCATCCTTCCTTGAATGACTTAAGGCGGCATTACTTTTTAAAAGATGCTGTATATTGATGGCGATCAAAGAAATATTTCTTTAAATTTCAAAAGAGTAACAAGTAAGTAACCATTCAGTTCACCCTTAAATATGTCTAAGACACCGTAGACCAAACCCGTAAGATGATTGCTCTCATTGGTTGCTTGATGTGTGGCTTTAAGGCATTTTGACCAACCGTCTCAACGTATACACACATATAGTAGCAAATGCGCTCATAAACAAAAGACGACGGACAAGCACAAGCGTCGGTTCCTCGAGTGATGTCTCATTTATTGTAAACAATCGTTTCAATTCTACATAGACTTGTCAGCCAAAGCCGAACAACTGTCAACACCATGAGTAGCTTTAATCTAATTTGACTAAAGATTTCAATAAGATCGGATAGAACCATTGACTTATGCCGCAAAACCGTTACGTTTATCCCAGGTAAAAAACTTCGCCATGCCCAGACATAACACGAAATCTAGCGTGAGTTAAATCCCAGCAATTAATAGTCTTTAGTTATTTCAACTGTTTAACAAAATCGATCAATGTTTGACAAAATCTACCAAAATACCACAGCAAAGCTTAGCATAGACTTCTCTGCTTACCGTAGCTTAGGCAAGGGTAGTTCTCTAATAAAATAGCGTAATGAGTGCTTACAACTACCTGTCTGTTTGTTCGTTCTGCGTTTTAAAAGCCTGTTTGTGTGCCTACGTGCAACACCAAGAAGGTGTTCGGACAAATCAACATTTTATTATATCAATCGGATTAAAATTATTTTCTGAATTGATTTATGCATGTTTTTCCGCCTTATTTCTGACACTTGTCCACGTATTTCGTGTTTAACTTAAACGTCTCAAGAATCGAAAGAATTTGACAAAATTGGAATTTGCGCACGAAATCGTTCGACACTGACTGGTGAATATTATGTAAAGCCTTGGATACTATAGATTAACAAGTAGACTTGCTACGGGGATAAAAAAAACATACATGCTGAAGGCAGTTAGCAGCTCGAATAGCAAGAATCCGGGAAAGATTCACCAATGCTCTACGAATTGCGAACCCGAGTGAACAAGCTATGAGTTGACTTTGTTTTTTGTAAAAATTACTTTGTAACCGTTATTTGAAAAAGTTGAGCTTTTCTTGCTTGCAATGATTTTGGCTACATTTTCGAATAATCCTCTTTCGGTCTTTTCAGCCTATGATTACTGAAGCAATGAACTTCAAACCGTTTTTTGAGCAATACTTTTAATAAAAAAATTTGTTCTCAAAAATATTTTTGAGCTTTTGGTTTAACGGGCACTGATGCCGACGTAAACTACGTAAAATGTAAGCAAAGTAAAAAATCCATATTTTAATAATTTTCCCAATAGGGAGTAAATGAATTAAAAAAAGTATTCTCGCTATAAATATCATTGAACACCTGTAGAATTTCTCCAGGAAATCCTTTTCTTTAGAAACGCAGTAACGTGCTTTGAATCTGTTTGCTTCAGTCAACTCAGCGAATGGTCTGTTGTTTTGAACTTGTTTTGAAAATTTCAAATTTTCCACAAACTACGCTTTAGTCACCTAGAACTTGTGATATGCGAAACGTAAATAGAAAGTTCCCAAATTATGAGCAGGACATGATTTATTCAAATCTTACATAAATCAACTGCCGGCATAGAATGACAGTTTGCTAAAAATGGCGGAAGCCTTCTTTTTAGGATCAAGCAACACATTCCTAGAAAAAGATTACGGAAGGTTGCATCTTTTTCTTTTTTTTGATTGAGAATTTTTCGATGTTCACTCAATAATAAGTTTTCAACTGTTCTATTGTAGGCTATTTTGACTTTATAAAAAATTTGCCAAGAGAACGTACAACAATTTACGCCACAACCGCAGTAGGAATGGAGATCTAGATCTTCCGTAGAGTGTCATCTATTCTTATCACCAACTAAACCATACGATCCCCAACTCGGCAAATCATTTTTCTTTTTTGATTTGTTGACTCTCAGAAGAAGACGAAGACGAGGAGGAAGATTTTATACTACGCAGTTTAAAAAGTGTTGAGCGTGTTAAAGTTCGCACGTCCGCTCGATATTCATTCAATTACATTTAATCTATACGCAACAAGATAAGAGTGCTTCTATTATTAAACTCAATATATTTGAAACGAAATGCTTTGCCCTCACATTTTGCTGGCTTATTAAATATAATAAGCTTTCATAACAATATTCAATGTCAAGGTTGTGAACGCTCAAGTTCGTTAGCGACGAAAATTTGTATAAAAAAATCTATAAAAACAATTATTTCGTGTATATGCGAAAATGGTATTTTCCGATGGGTTTACAGAGTTTCCATAAATCACGGAATGGATTTAATTACATCTCAACTTCAGACAATTTTTTCAAAATTGTCATCAACAACTCTTCTAGTTGTTATTTATTGCTGTAGAAAAGTGAATAGCAGGACTGCCGAGAGAAAGACTTCAAAGGAAGAAGGAGTAAGTGAACTGTGTTTAAAGAAAAAAGCTATCGTTGATATCGTCTAAGTAGGCAGACCGATGGTTTGAACAAACAGGTAGAACAGGTAGAGTACGGAATACAGATACCATCCGAGTTTTGAAATAGGTGCTATTAAGTGCTCAACTTTGAAAATGCTCAAGTTATTCTGTTTGAGATTAGTTGTTCAACTATTTCGAACATCTCCCAACATGTATGTTTCTTCGAGACAAGCAAAGCCTTTTCCCAGCGTTTTCGAGGATCTTTCATTTGCAATCCTTTTGAGAATTGAGATCGCGCACTGCTTGATTGTTTAGACGGTTTTTTTTTTAGAGTTTTTATATGTATTAAAAAAATAGTTACCAGAACAAGATCGTAGTTTGTTGAGAAAATATATATCGAACACTATATATATTTGCATGGTGCATGATCATAATTTATGTACTAGATGAAAAAAATCCCGTCTAATTCGAATATAAATTTTCTTTTCATCTGGCTACTTGAGCTTAGCATAATGATAAGTATCTTAAGCGAGATAATCTCGTCTACATATTCTCCTAAATCACAAAAATACCATTAATCAGGCGCCTTCAATAATGCCGAGACTTGTTTATAATAAAAATAAGAGATTTCTATGCTAACGGTGCGTATGAGTGCTTCTAATATGCATTCGGTAAGTAAAACTATATTATTTATTTATACTGTGTCGATCTCAAAGTAAAAAAAAAGTATTTGTTTTACACATATCTGTATACATATCCTTTTTATTATTACTTTATTTATATATATTAAGTTGTTTGAAAATTTTCAATTTTATAACTCGGCAACTCCCGAAAGAGAAACTTCACTTTGAAATTTTTAGATAGAAAACAAAAACACAAAATTCTCTGCCTAAGAAAAAAAAAAAAAAAAGCAAAAAATTATTAGAAAACGAACCGCAAAAAAGTCACGAATAAAACTCTTCAAAACTCCATCAGCCATAACAGCGCCTCGAGATAATTCAAGTGAATATAGATAAAGATCGAGAAAACACTTATTGGTTCGGTTAAATTTCAAAAATTCTTTCAAAAATATTGTAAGTGTTTCCGTTAGAAAATCTTTGTGTTATTATTATTATTTTTATTTTTCTATTGTTTTTCTGTTTCACTGAAACCCGTAACGTTATGTTTTGATACCGAACGGCTACTGAAAATTGAAAAAAGAAACTACGCTGCTTATAAGACTAAAACAAGCAATGAGTAAAGTCAGTCTTTTCATTTTATTTTATGTATAATATCTATTTACATATATATTTATATATATATATGTACGCATATATATGTTCGTATATTTGTGAAGTGTAAGAAAAGAGAACACAAACATAGCGTTAAAGAAGTAAAATAAGGTTGAACTGTAAACTAAACCATATTTGACTAAAAACTGAACGGAACCGAACTCAACTGAAGTATAAGGACAACGCTCATACATCTAAAAAAAAAAAAAAAAAAAACTTTAAAGGGTAGGTGGTAGCATGTATTCATATATATTTATTAGTATTATTGCTGCCCTGATTGACAGGCCTAAAGAAGCCGCATATTTTTAATAACCAAACGCGTATTTATAGCCTTTCTGTCAAGGCTGAAACACATGAATGAAAAGTTACAATGAATGCATGACCCAACAAAACCACTTTACCTTAAAAGTGAGTGCCAGATACTAATAATATACAGGGTGTATGCGCCGCTAAAGTCTACCTTTTTTGCATCTACAAAATGTGGCAG